TCCCATCAAAAGAATAACATCTAACCCAAGTCTGGCGATGCACGCCTTTAATCCCAGCACTTGGGAGGCAGAGGTAGGTAGATCTTTGTGAGTTCGAGGCCAGCCTGGTCTACATAGTGAGTTCCAGGACAGCCAGGGCTACAAGGAGATCCTGTCTCAAAAAAGTTTCTTCTAGGAATTTAACCCAAGGAATAATTAAGGACCCACACCAAAACACAGGAAGCTCTGAGCCTGGGCCACATGAGATGCTAACTCCAAAAAAAATCAAACAACCCATAGATTACAAAGCATGCATGTTGTTACCCGTGGGGCTCTTAGGAACACTCCTGCTGTGGACACTGATGTATAAGGTCTGAGTGGACACAAGTTCTCAGTTCTCTTGGGTCCATACCTGAGATGAGAACTAACAAATGCTGTAATTCTAAGTGGACTGATGGAGGAATTACCAGAATGTTTCCTGAGGTTATACCATTTTACAGTCCCGAGCCAGGCATGGTGGTACACACTTTTAATCCCAGAACTCGGGAGGCAGAGGTAGGCAGATCTCTGTGAGTTCAAGGCCAGCCTGATCTATATAGTGAGTTCCAGACCAGCTGGGGCTACAAGGAGACCCTGTCTCAAAAAAAAAAAAAAAAAAAAAGACCCCCTCCCTCAAAAAAACCCCAACGATTTTACAGTCCTGAGGGTTTACTGACCACACTGTCAACACTCCATCTCCCCTACCCCATACCCCTCCCCTTTCTTTCCTCCCTGCAGTCTTACCATACAACCTGGCTGGATAGCCTCCTGCCTCAGACGCCTGAGTGCTAGGATTACAAGTGTGTGTCATCTTCTCTGTTATAGGTATCCTATTAGTTTCCATATTGCATGTTTTCATGTACTTACTGGCCATCTCTGAAGCCTCTTTGGACAAAAGTCAAATGCCCATCTTTTGTCTTTTAACTTTTTATTAGGAAAACTTAAATTTAAGAAATGAATACTAGTAATCCCTCCAATAGAGATACAACACACAGAAACAACTGTAACTATGTATAAAGTCTGTGAAAACAAAATTCTGAAGAGTACTATTTATAATTACAAAATGATAAAGTCCTCAGTAGACCTTAGTAGCAGAAAGATACTAAGGAACTGGCTAGTTGTGGCAGATTAGGCATGAATACTGCATAGAAAAGGGTATCTGTAATACCCTTAAGTAATTTCTAAGTTTCAGCATAAATACCAAATCCCATTTTTGGTCTAAACAAGAGCTAGCAGGGTTTGCATCTGTCTGCAGACACAATTTCATGCAGTAAAGGAAGAATCTTGGGTGGCTTTTGATCAAACCCAGTGGGTAACAGGACTGGAGGTAAGGAGGAAAAAGACCTCTACCTTTTTCATGTTATTTTCCTAAGTAATAGATTACAAGTGCCATTTACATTTTAAAATCTTTTCCTGGCTCAATGGAGTGGCAAATACCTTTAATACCGGGACTCAGGAGGCAAAGGAAGGGATCTCTGTGAGTGTCAAGTAAGCCTGGTCTACATAGCGAATTCCAAGCCAGCCAGGGCTACACAGTGAGGCCCTGTCTAAAAATAAAATAAAATAACAAAAAAATCTTTTCCCACTGTGCCTAATGGCACAGGCCTAGCTACTCAGGAGGCTGAGGCAAAAGGACTGCAAATGCAAGGCCTGCCTGGGCTACAGAGAAGGTTCAAGACCAGTATGGGCAAGTTGGTGAAACCCTGTCTCAAAAAACGTAAAGAGCTGAGGCTATAGCTCATTATATCGAGTGCTTGTGTAGCTAGGCCCTGGGCCCAATCTCCAGCACAGCAAGTAAAAAGTTTCCCATAATCTTTAAAAAGTATTTTCAGAATCATTATAATAAATGCAGGTTTTTATTTTTTACTCACTACTGAAACCTAATGTCAAGCACCATTCAATACTTGGCATCAATAGAGTCTTCAATGAAAATGTATAGACTACAGGCAGGCAAAATAGCTCAACAGGTAAAGGCACCTGCTGCCAAGCCTGATAACCTGAGTTTGAGTCTCAGAATCTAGATGAGGAGAGAGAATTGACTCCTGCACATGAAAGAAAATGTGGTAGGCTGGGTGTAGTGGCGAACACCTTTAATCCTAGGACTTGAGGAGTCAGAAGCAGGCAGATCTCTTTGAGTTTGCAGCCAGCCTGGTCTATACAGGGAACCTCAGGTCAACAGGGCTACATAGTGAGACCCTCAACTCAAAAAATAAAATGTCCTGACTATATAGATTTCCATGTAAAAGAAAATCTGTTAAGAGCTTATGGTTTCAGTAAATGATTTCCCATTTGCTGTGACTACACTGTAAGGTAATAAACAGTGACTTACATGATTCAGAAAATACTGCACAATTATCTCATGGCCAGAGGCAGCTGCTTCCATCAAAGGAGTGAATCCATACACAGGCTCCCTGTAAGATGGTGCCAGTAAGGTGGTTAGCAAAGTTGGGCCATGTAAAACCTCTCCTGCCCCTACATACAGAGCATGGTCCTGGCCTGGTCTCTCAAGCACTCAGAACCACTGAGGTGTTAGGACTGTGTAAAGTTAGTAAAGTGATTGCCAAGCATTAGGACCTGAGCTTGATCCCTAGGACCAAGGAAAAAGGTGGGCGTGGTGGTATATGCTTGTAATCCTACAGCTGGAAGACAAGGACAAATGGATCCCTGGGCTCCCTGGCCAGTCAGCTAGCCTAATCATGAGCCCTAGGTTCCAATGAGAAACCCTGTCTCAAAAAAGAAAAGATGGATGGCTCCCAAGAAAGACCACCTGAGGTTGATCTCTGGCCCCCACACACACGCACACACACCTATCTACCCACCCCACCACCACACAAAAATCTAACTCGGTGGGGGCTGAAAAGATGACTCAGCAGTTAAAAGAATTTACTGTTCTTCAGAGGACCTAGGTCAGTTTCCATTACCCACATGACATCTCACAATCATCTGTAACCCCAGTTCCAAAGTATCAAACACTGTCTTCTGGTCTCTTCAGCACCACACACATGTGGCACATATACATACATGCAGAAAAAAAAAAACATAAAATAAACATAAATCTTAAAAAAACAAACAAAAACTACTAAAAACTACTGAAGTGAGATGGAAAATGTCAACAAAACTACATGAGCATCACTAGCTCCTCTGGCTCATTAACCATCCTAAAGATCAAGGTCCCATCCTCCTGCCTCAAGGCTACTCCCTCCAACCTAAACCACCTTCCAACAGCATTTACTGTTCACCACTTCTCACAGACACTTGTCTCTCCCACAGACCCCACTCTCACCTTTTGAATTCTGCATCCTTGTGAACTGTTTGAGAAGCCTATAAACTAAACTGACAATCCTACCTGTCCTTACTTGTTCTTTGTGATCACTGTTACCCCAGCACTCATATACCCCCTTTACTGTTCCTCATTCCCCAGTGGTATAAAGTCAGGAGTCATGCTAAACACTGCCATTCCACATTCTAAAACATGTATTTTTTTACTTCTTAACATCTGTGAAGTCAGATGAAGTCAGAGTGTATTTTTTAAAATCTTTTTGAGACAGATGGGTCTCCCTGTAGCCCCAGCTGGTCTTGAACTATGTAGACCAGACTGGCCTTCAATTCTCGATATTCACCTGCCTCTGCCTCCTGAGTGCTGGGATTAAAAGTGTGTATCACCATGCCCAGCCAATATCTTAGTCACTAGACTAGTTGAATTTTTAAATTTTGTATTTATTTTTATTTTATGTGTATGTTTTGCCTGCACATATATAAGTACGCTATGTGTGTACACTGCCCATGGAGGCCAGAAGATGGCATCAGATCCCCTAACACTGGAGTTATGGACCACTGTAAGCTACCACATGGGTGCTGAAAACCCAACCCTGGTCCTCTGCAAGAACAAGTGCTCTTAACCACTGAGACATTTTTCCAGCTCAAGAAGTTGAATTTTGCTTTCCAGCCTGAGTCTTGGACCCTGTAGCCACCATGATGTTGATGCCCAAGAAGAAATGGATTGCCATCTATGAACTCCTTTCTAAGAAGGGCATGATGGTAGCCAAGAAGGATGTCCATATGCCCAAACACCCAGAGCTGGCAGACAAGAGTGTGCCCAACCTTCATGTTATGAAGGCTATGCAGTCTCTCAAGTCTCAAGGCTACGAGAAAGAACAGCTTGCCTGGAGACATTTCTACTGGTACCTCACCAACAAGAGTATCCATTATCTCCACAATTACCTCTACCTGCCTCTTGAGATCGTGCCTGCCACACCCTGCACTACAGCCGTCCAGAGACTGGCTGTCCTCAGCCTAAAAGTCCAGATGGTGAACGACCTGAAAGATTCACAAGAGGGGAGGCCAACAGAGACACATACAGATAGTGTGCTGTGCCCCCTTGTACTGACAAAAAAGCTGAGGCTAGGGCTGGCTCTTCAACTGAATTCCAGTTCAGAGGCGAGTTTGGTCATGGATGTGGTCAGCCACCTCAGTGAAGTTTGAGAAGAATATTTTGTGTTGAATAAACTTATGGTCAGAAAAAAAGAAGTTGCATTTTACTCTTCTTTTGTTTTGAGACAGAGCATCCTTGTAGCCCCAGTTGGCCTAGAACTTAAAGATCAGACTGGCCTCAATCTCATAGAGATCTGCTTGCCTCTGCCTCCCTGAGTGCTACAATTAAAGGCATGTGCCACCACACCTGGCTTGAATTCTAATTAGTAGCCTCTTTTCTTTTTTAGAGTCACTCAGAATTATGGTATGCCTTTCAATGGGTGCCATGAGCCAGGGGGCCACACCAGCACCAGGTGGAGGTTTGTTTGGTACATGCTATGTAGAAGGGGATTTTTACATGACATGCATCAGACCACACTAACTCCATCTTATGAAAGTCTTGATGGGGAACTGCAAAGATTGCTCAGTGGTTAAGAACACTGGCTACTCCTGCAGAAGACCTGGGTTCAGTTCCCAGCACCCACATGGCAATTAACAACTATCTGTAACTCTAGTTCCAGGGGATCAAACGCCCTCTTCTGGCTTCTGTGGGCACTGCACAACACAGGTGCACTTACATGCAGGCAATACACTCATACACATAAAATAAAAATAATAAAATATTAAAATAAATAAATAAAAAATAAAAAACAAGGGGCTGGAGCCGGGCGTGGTGCTACACGCCTTTAGTCCCAGCACTTGGGAGGCAGAGGCAGGTGGATCTTTGTGAGTTTGAGGCCAGCTTGGTCTACCTAGTGAGTTCCAGGACAGCTGGGGCTACAGGGAGATCCTGTCTCAAAAAGACCCCCCCGCCAAAAAAAAAAAACCCAAAAACAAGGGCCTGGAAAGATTGGTCAGTGATTAAGAGCACTGGCTACTCTTGCAAAGGACCCAGGTTTGGTTTCCAACACCCACACAGTGGCTAACTATAACTACACTTCTAGGGGATCCAATGCCCTCTTCTGACCTCCACAAGTAGTGCATGACACAGTACACATACACACATACATACAAGTAGGCAATATACTCATACACATGAAAAATAAAAATAAATAAAAATATTTTAAAAGGGGGAAATTATAAAAAGAAATTTTCAAATGAAAATGTATAAAAGCACTTCTGGGGCTGGAGATGGTTCAGCAGTTAAAAGCATGAGCTGCTCTTGCAGAAGACCCAGTTTTGAATCCCAGCACTCACATGGCAGCTAACAACAGTTCTAGCTCAAGTTCCAGGAGATCTGTTGCCCTCTTCTGACCTCTGTGAGCACTGCACAACAAAAGTGCATTTACACACATGTAGGCAATACACTCATACACATAAAATAAAAATAAATACTTTAAAAAAAAAAACGCTTTCTAGTCTCAGAATGCATGTTTATGTAGACACAGTGTACAAGTATCTGTTAATCCCAGCACACCAATAGGAAATGGGAGGTAAAGATTGACTCTGCCACCCTCCCCACAGCTGGATGGAACCCAGCCCACTCCTGTGGCCACTCAGTTGCAATCATCACCTCACATTGGCGTTGGCTCCACTGTCCAGGAGGAACTTGACCATCTGCTGGTGGCCTGCACTGGTGCAGTGGAAGAGTGCAGTCCAGCCCTGGATGTCTTTCATCTCAAGTTCAGCACCTTGCTTCGAGAGAACAAAGTGTGGGTTATGGCCTGTGTCCCCTGTGCTGGTAATAGGAGGGCAGGCGGCGCCCTCCAGGCCTTCGGCTGAAAGAATCTGAAGTGATTACCTGTGCACACACACATACAGTAGCCTGCAGCACATCGAGTACCTGTCAGGGTGGCCAGGGAGCCCCTCGGGTTTCTGGGCCTATGCCCCCTCATAGCTCACCTGGAGGAGAAAGTAGGCGATGCTCTCGTTGCCACAGCTGGAGGCCAACATCAGTGGAGTCTGCCCTTCTGGGGTCGGCACATTCACACTCACCCCTGCCTCGAGCAGCAGGTGCACGATGGTATCATGTCCAATGTAGGAGGCATACATCAGCGGGGTCCAGCCACCACCATTCTTCTTATTCAAATCTAACTCTCTCCTAAACAAACGCAAGATATGCTACACACGCCCAGCACCTCACTCCAGAGCCAGTGGCCAGGCCAAGCAGTTACAAACTGAACTTCCAGAGGTCACCTGCTGCAGAGATTCTCGGGTGGGAGAAGGCAGGCAGGTAAATGTTTCCAGCTACTGTGTGCCTGCCTTTCCATCCTCTTATGATCATTTTGACTGCCAATTTGACGGGATCTGGAATTAACTGAAAGACATCGTTCTGGGCATGTCTAAGGGAGTTTCTAGAATGGGTTAACAGATGTGGGAAGATCTACTCTAAATGTGAGCAGCATTGTTCCACAGGCAGGGGTCACAGATTGATTAAAGGGAAAGAGAGAAGCATTCATCTAGCCTGCTTCCTGCCTAAGGAGGTGCTGCCACCATGTCTTTCCCCTCAAAATGGACTCTACCCTCAAACTCTCAGTCCAAATAAACCATGCCTTTTGTCAGTATTTGTCAAAGCAACAAGAAAAGTAACTAATACAACCTTCTCTAATTTCATACTCTCATCTGCCCGCCTCCAAGCCAAGACCAGCAGTTCTCTTCTGTACCTCTAGCAGCCCCAGTGTTCAAGCAGGGGCATCAGGCAAAGTTGTAACTCATTTCTGGTTTTCACAATTACCATAGCTGGAGGATGAGCTACTGGCACACAGTAGACAGAGCCAGCCAAACACCACACAGAGCACAGGACCCATCAGGGCAAAGACCAGCTAGCTGGCCTGGCTTATCAGTGGAAGTGAAGCTGGGACACTCTGACCACCAGCCACCAATTCAATGGCCAGTCTGTCAGCAGAGCTGTACAGAGCAGCCTGAGAGAAGAGAAAGGGTCGGAAGACAAGAAACCCCACTGCCATTGACTTCTCCTTTATCATCCCACTCTACAGAAACATTCTTGAGAACAATCTGTAACCAGACAGTCTTCTTTTTCTCACTGATTTCCATTAAAATTCTGGAATGTGAGCCGGGCGTGGTGGCGCACACCTTTAATCCTAGCACTCAGGAGGCAGAGACAGGCGGATCTTTGTGAGTTCAAGGCCAGCCTGGTCTACATAGTGAATCCAGGACAGCTGGGGCTACAAGGAGACCCTGTCTCAAAAAGACCAAAAAAAAAAAAAAATTCTAGAATGCACTTTCACTCAAGGGGAAAAGAAGCTGGGGAGGAGGAAAGAGTCTCTATTTATTTCAGAATAACACCCACCCCAAACCCCAAAGGTGGTACACAGGGCATGTCTTTCAGGCCTTTCCTTCTCAATTCTTGTCGCCAGCAGTAGAAACTGGCAATGTGTCCCGTGATCAGTCTCTCATAGGACCTATACTAAGCAAAGCCAAGCAGCTATTTCCTATGCACTAGCAGCTCCTCCTGACTCAGGTGTACACCATGTGGCTATGGAAGGGTCTCAAACAGCAGCAGGTCTGCCTGGAGCTACACAGATACAAGTCACTCCAGTGACCTGGCAACTGGCACTACCTCCCTTCAGGAGAAGCAATTCCTGAGCGAGGCTCATGCTTCTACTTCAGGCCCTGTCTTGCAGGTCTCCAACTACCCACAGGCCCAACCTCAGCTTCTGAGAGCAAGCCTGTCTCTTGGATGGGCCAGAACTCACTCAGAGCACAGAACTATCCCTCTTCTCCTTGGGCTTCTCTGGGCCACGTACTTTAACCTGACACTCAATGCTTAGGAGTCTGAGATTCCAAAGAATTATGACAGGAGTCTCGGTGACCCTATAAGGGGTATGTGCTGACTGACTTCATACCCTGCCCATCCCTGAGGTCACTCATTAAAGAAGCCCTACAGAGTGCCCTACATTAAGAGGGACGGATGGATGGTTCTGATTTGCAACCAGGGCTTCATGAGGCTTTATTCTGGCTCCTCTGGAACTGAGAAGGCATGGGGAGATCTAGACAGATGTCACCTTATCAAGGCACCAAATGAGCACCAGCAAACAAAGTATGGTAGAGCACAAGGAGGTGCCGTCTACAACAGTACCTTCAGATCACATGGAGCTCTGTGCAAGACACAGAGCTCTGCTCTGGGCTCCTTGTGATGCTTGGAGTAAATACTCATATGCAGGTTATAAACCCAGCAGATGGCCTGTGAGTGGAGGCAGGCTACCAAGGAGGGTCAGAAGCCAGAGGGGTACTACAATGAACACTCTGGTGAAATAGACCAAAGTGCTGGCTTCCCATCCTGTTGTTTTCTTTGGGCCTTTCTGCAATCAAAGGAAATCCTGAAATGACTCTGGTTCAAGTAAACTTACCAATCAGTGTTTATAAGTCTACAATGTAAGTTTAAATCATCTTTTTCTTCCCTTGGAATCAAAACTGCCTTCTTCTAGTATAAGCTATCAGTGACAACTTCCTACAACAAGCAGGTCAACATGTATTAAAGGTCTACAATTCTGCAAGGCCCCAGTGCGTGGGAACTGAAGCCTTTTAAAATGCGAGGTGAAGGGACACTCCCAAGACTTCTTACCGCTGCACACACTCCTTCACCACCTCGTACTGGCCGATGGAAGCAGCTGTATGAAGATCTAAGGGGACATCCAGCTCCTCCCGGCTGACCTGCGTGCCTAGCCCATGCCACATGGACAAGCTGCAGTTCAGGAGCTCTGGCTCGCTGGCTTCATCGCTGAGCTCAGACATGGCTGTAGAGGGAGGTCCAGGGGTTAGTTCTTCCTTCCTAACAGTCCCTAGTTCCTCACTGTTAAATGGACACAGGATGTAAAAGGTCTGCAGTAACAAATACATGGAAACTGGGCGTGGGGGCCCATGCCTTTAATCCCAACACTCAGGAGGCAGAGGCAGATAGATCTCTGTGACAGAGTGGCCAGCCTTACCTACACGGTAAGTTCTACATGCCTGAGGCCACAGGGAGACCCTATTCTAAAAACAAAACAAAACAACCAGGGGGTAAGAGTTGGATTGGTGATTAAAAGCACATACTGTTCTTGTAGAGGATGCAAGTTCAGTTCTCAGCACCAACTAACTCCAGCTCCACAGGATCTGACACTCTCTTCTGGCCTCTGTGGGAACCTGCACTCATGTATACACAAATCCCCCAGAGATACAATGCATATACATAATTAAAAATATGTAATTTTTAACCTCGGGAGGCAGAGGAAAGTGGATCTCTGTGAATTCAAGGCCAGCCTGATCTACATAGTGAGTTCCAGGCCAGGTGGGGCTACAGAGAGATCCTATCTCAAAAAGACCAAAAAATAAAAAGGCTGTGTGTAAGCTGGGCATGGTGACACAAGCCTTTGATCCCAGCACTCAGGAGGCAGAGGCAGGTGGATCTCTGTGAGTTCCAGGTGTGATCTCCATAACGAATCCAGGTCAGCTTGGGCTACAGCAACCCTGTCTCAAAAAGACAAAAAAAAAAAAAAAAAAGGCTGTGTGTGGACACACAACTAACTGTAGCACTTGGGAGGTAGAGGCAGGATTGTGAGTTTAAGGTCAGCCTGGACGATATAGCAACACCTTACCTCAATTTTTTTTTTTTTCCTTTTTCAAGAAAAGGTAGATGGTGGCACATCCATACAATGAGTGCTGCAATAACCAGAGAACCAGCAGCTGACACACACAAGAACACCTCAGCTGCGTTCTGCTAAATGGAAGGAGCCACTAGTACACAATCCACCCGAAGCACATTCTGCAGAAGCGAAAGGAAAGGTGTGGGGGCCAGGCCAGTGATACCTAGCACAAAGGGACCAGCAAGAGGGATATGATGAGCAATAGGCTTGTTCTGTACCTTGACTATGGTGGTACATATATGACTATGAATTTGTCAAAAATCATAGACCTGACCCCCACAAGTAAATTCTACTATAGGCAATAAAAAAATTAAAAAAAAAAAGAGGCCAGGCATGGTGGCGCACACCTTTAATCCCAGCACTTGGGAGACAGAGGCAGGAGATCTTTGTGAGTTCGAGGCCAGCCTGGTCTACACAGTGAGTTCCAGGACAGCTAGGGCTACAAGGAGACCCTGTCTCAAAAAGACAAAAAAAAAAAAAAAAAAAAAAAATGACTAAAACTTCTTTTAAAAAAAAAAAAGGCTGGGTATGGTAGCAGGCACCTTTAATCCAGTACTTGGGAGGCAGAGGCAGGTGGATCTCTGTGAGTTTGAGGTCAGCCTGGTCTACCATAGGAAGTTCCAGGCCAGCTGGGGCTACAAGGAGACCTTGTTCTCAAAAGACCAAAAAATAAAAAAAGAAAGAAAAAGAAAAAGAAAGCAAGGCCCTAGTGTAATCCTTCCACTGAAATGGGGCACCACAAAGATGATGAATCTGTGATTATGGATCCTTTATTCCGGGACTAGTACTCAAACCAAAGGCAACAGGAAGCTAATACAGAAGAGGAAGAAGAGCAGCTAGAGCTCAGTTGGTAGAGCACTTGCTCCACATGCATAAAGCCGAGTCTGATCCCCAACAGGTCAATAACGGGGCGGGGCGAGGGGAGGCAGAGGAGCAAAAGACCACCATGTCATGTTCGGATGACCTATAGTTCACAGGCATTAAGACCTCAGTTTCCACTAAGGCACCCTAGCATTCTTCTCTGTTGGTGACAGCCAAAACAGACAAAGTTGGCCCTGGTAGCGCACTTCTGGGACTGAGGCAGGAAGTTGAAGCCCTGCCTGGGCAACTTAAACTGAAATATAAAAAACTAGGATGAGGACTGGAGATATATCTCGGTGATAGAGCATTTGCCTAGCATGTGAGGCCAGCTTTGATCTACACCAAAAAAAAAAAAAAAAAAGAGGCCACACACACATGAGCTTCTCATTTCACGTGAGAATAGTGGTGGTTTTGAACCAACAGAGCTGACACATGCTCCCCTTCGTGGGGAAAGCATTTAACAAATTAACGATCTAAACCTGGAGTGGCTCCCATCACTTGGGAGGCTGATGCAGGAGGATTGCTACGGAGATCAGCCCCCTACCAAAAACAACGAAAACGATTCGAGTCAAGCAAATGTTTGTATGTCTTCTGCACCTCGTTTGTAGAACTTCAGTAGCAGCACTGGCGGTGCTATCTTTTAACCCTTTCCATTCCTGTCCATTTTGTAAAACACGTGTTACTCTTTAATTAAAAAATCCTAATCTAGCCTGGCGGCGACTGTCACTCTTGCAAGAGATCCGTTAAAGTCCTGAAGGGGGCCCTGCAGCCCGCGGAAGCGCGGCGCGGTTCGGGCCCTGGCGGGTCCCGGAGACCCTGGGAGCCCACAGTCCTCGGCGTGGCCGGACGCCGCTAGCAGGCACCTCGCGCGACCCGCGATCCAGTGCCACGGAGCCGGGCCCGCGCCCCCAACTCCTGAGGCCAGCAAGCGCAGGGCTAGACGGACCCAGGGTGCCCCAGGCACCGGCTCCCAGAGGGCCGCGCTACCGCCCGGCCTACCTGCGCGGCCTCAGGTCCCGGAGCTGCCCTCCAGCCACAACTCCACGCTCCCTCAAGGGCCACCGCCCCTGTGCCCGGCCCACCCCGGAAGAGATTACAGGAGCGCGCGGAGCACTCCGGGAAGATGGCAGACGTCGTGTCATTGGTCCGCCTCGCCAGCCAATGAGCTGGTAGCTTCCGGCCCCGCCCCTCCGGGGCGCCCAGGAACCAATCTTGAGGCAGAGAGGCCGGCGGTGCCCCGCGTAGAAGAGGTGCGGCAAGCTCCGCTGCGGGCTGGGGTGCCTCTGCGCGGCGGCCTTGCAGAAGAGCGAGCGGACACACACGACGCGGGGTCAACCCCGGCTGTGGGTGGGAGAGAGGGCCCTTCTTCTCCGGGTTTTAACACTTCCAGGTGGTCCCCGTTGGCGTCTAGTCGTCATGACAACGACGCCTCACGGGGGCGGGGCCAACGGGCTGCCGCTCTGGACCGTATTTAGAGACACCCTGCTAGCTCTTCCACCTTGCACACCTGAGGACTGTCGGTTTTGGGTGGCCCTCTTCACCTCGGTTTCTGCTATCCTGGCAAATCCTGTGCCCAGCTACGAGAGCCCAGGTTCCAAAACACTCCCCTGGTGCATGTACCAGAAGCGTCCTCTCCAGCTGTCCCACTTCAGTAACGCCAAGCTCCTATCCTCGCTCCCAGCATCCAGAGGCCTGAAGTCCTCACTCGCCTCCTGCCCCTGCCCTGGTGCAGCACCGATGGTTGATGTGCCTTATCTCGGTCGTAAGAGTCCCACAATCCTAAAGTTCCCTTTGCCCCCTGGGGGCCCGCCATCTGAGATACAAAGGATGGGGCTGAGCCAGGACCTGGGTTATAAGGGGCTCGTCTGAGTGATGATGCCAAACAAAATCGCTTGGATAATGGGGCTTAAGCCCCTCCCTTTTTGGGTGCTTTTTATTTTTTATTCATTTTTATTTTATGTGTATCAGTGTTTTGCCTGTATGTGTGTAAGTTGTAAGTGAATCAGTGTCATGCAATGCCTTCAGAGGCCAGAGGAAAGCATGGGTGCTAGGAACTTTGAACCTGGGTCCTCTTAAGAGCATCCAGTGCTCTTAACTGCTAAACTATCTCTCTAGACCCTGATGTTATTTTCAATTATTCATGTGTGTGGGTATATGCATGTGAGTACAGGTTATCGGTGGAGGCCAAAGGCTGTCCTGGAGCTTGAATTGGCAAGATGGCTGTCCTGGATCTGGCAGTTGTGGTGCTAGGAATTAAACTTGGGTCTTCTGCAAGAACAGTACTCACTTTTAACTGCTAAGCCATCTCTCCAGCACCTGAATCCCTCCCTTTTCTCAGTGCTGAGGATTGGACTCATGTATGCTAGGGAAATGCTCTACCATTGAAGGGTAAATACCCTTCCCTGAATGTTGATTCCACTTCTCTTTGCTATTTACCAACGTCTCTGAGCCTATAAAATGGAGATAATAGTGTCTGTTATATATGATAAATATATGTCATAGCATATGTATTACATATAAACACTTTTTTTTTGTCTTTCTGAGACAGGGTCTCCCTGTAGCTCCAGCTGTCCTGGAACTCACTATGTAGACCAAGCTGGGCTCAAATTTACAAAGATCCGCCTGCCTCTGCCTCCCAAGTGCTGGGATTAAAGGTGTGCACCACCACACCCGGCCTTCCTTTTGGTCTTTTTGATACAGGGTCTCCTGTAGCCCCAGCTGGCCTGGAACTCACTTTGTAGACCAGGCTGGCCTTGAACTCACAGAGATCTGCCTACCTCCGCTTCCCGAGTGCTGGGATTAAAGGTGTGCTCCACCATGCCTGGCTTATATAACCACATCTTGTTCATATCAGTACATCTATATTTTCTTTTTTTTTTTTTTTTTTTTTTTTTTGTATTTTTGAGACAGGGTCTCCTTGTAGCCCCAGCTGTCCTAGAACTCACTATGTAGACCAGGCTGGCAGAAAACTCACAAAGGTCCATCTGCCTCTGCCTCTTAAGTGCTGGGATTAAAGGTGTGCGCCACCATGCCCGGCTTACATCTATATTTTCGTATGTACATATCATTAAATACATCACATTATATATACACACACACATATATCAAGCACTGTGCTCACTATGCATACTCATTAGTACATACATCCATACACACAGCCCTGCTATCCAGTAATACAAGCTCACTGAACCACAGGAAATGGGCGGGAAGTGGAAATCTCCAAGTCTGTTTTCATCTTTAGCTAGTTAAGGTTTTGGAAAGGCTGCCCTGACAGTCTGTCCTTGGACATAGACACTGCCACCTCACCTTGTGTGCTCTGCAGGGCTCCTCCAATGATTGCACACAGAGAGGGCATCCTGTGAGCCTGAATCCCATGGCATTCAAAGACAAAGATGTGATGTCCTTGCTAGGCTCTCCCTGGGATGCCATCCTTGAAGTTGCCAAAGACCAGCTGCCATCCCTGGATTCTGACTCCTCTCTGGTGAGCAAGAGCTTTATATCCTCAAGGCCACTCCTGCAGTGGGACCCAGGTGGACTCAATGCCAAAGGCCAAGTTTTTCTACCCTGCTGCTCTCAACTCTGTTGTGCCATTTTGAGGCCAGCACCTCCATTGAGAGGGATACCTGAAGGTATTCTGCCACTAGATGTTGTTTGGGGTCATTCAGGTAGCCCCCGAAGATGCTCAGTGCCAGTGGTCATTTACACAGAGGTGAAAGTGGACAGTGACACTGCTGGTGATCAGAGGCTCATCACAGGTTGGCAGAGTGCACTTAGAGTGAAGGACAAGAGTTTTAGAAGCAAGATTCTAGGCATTTACAAAGATGAATATCACAGAGCAGGGACATGATTCATCCAGTGAATCATGAGGCCAAAGAAGAGGTAGGTGGTAGCAGTGCCTCCATACTTGAGTACTATCATTGCTTAGTGATGCCCCTGAAAGTCGGCAGACCAGTGTAAGCCTCTCCTTTAGGGACAGAAAACCAAAGCTCCTGTGTGAATGAGTCAGTGTGGAAGTGGGCTGGCCTCTGCTCTCAGTCCTTCCCTGCCATTATCCAGCACTGGATATTAATGCAGCACTTTCTGTGTGTAAAGTCTTAGGTGTGGCAGGTGCTTGTGAAAAAGAGAAGCCATGTCTCACCCCCACAAGGTGGTGCTGCTGAGCCTATTTCTGAATCTGCTGCAGAAAGCAGAGCAGGACAAGGCCCTTTGGGAGAGGACTGATCTGCCCGGGTGCCCCAGGGTGGGTTGTCAAAGCAGGGTTGCCTTATCATCCAAAGCCCCCTGGTCTGTTCACAGTCTGATTGTGAGGAAGAGGAGCCCTTCATCTTTCAGCGATGCCAGCCTGCCCTGATTCCAGACCTGACTGAGGAACTGGCTGAAGACCCTGTTGGTGGTGATGAGTCTGAGACCTGGGTTCCTACAGTAATGAGTTCTTCACCCCAGGTCTGTGGAAGGCCCACAGGGGATCCACTAAGCCTGGGGGAGAGAGGCACCCTGGGGGAGAGAGGGTGTGTGTGTGTGTGTATGAAATGAGACAGAGAGAGAGAGAGAGAGAGAGAGAGAGAGAGAGAGAGAGAGAGAGATGAACCCCCAATGGAGAAGATCAGAGAGGGGGGGCTG